CCGGTTCTGCGCTGGCTCCAACGGCTGCCGTGGCGCAGTGAGCTAGTGCGCATGCGCCCCGCTCCTTCCAGTTGCTGCAATGACTCAGGAGGAGTGGGGGAAGGGAAAAGAAGGGGGGAGAAGCTCCAAATCCCTCCATATTAGCCAGTCTGTAACCCCCCAACACAGAGGAAACAAAACACCCTCCCTTGCACAATAAGCACCATTTCATATACGTTTTCCCCTCCAAAATGCCTCCCTCCAAAACTCCTTGGAAGGGATACAAAGGCTTGTGATTTTTCCCTCACAAAAATGCCTGCCCCCCTAAAGTAAAACTACCCCCTAAGGGCTGAAAGGAAGGCATTCGATCCCTAAGTTATTTCCCCTAAAAAATCCCTGATTCCCAAAGCAAGCAACTCCTGCTCCACCTCCTGAATAAAATGAAATAAAACTACCTCCTGAAGGGCTAAAAGAAAGGCATTTGATCCCAAAAGTTACCCGCTCCTAGTAAAAAGCCTTTGCTGCAAGGGCAAGTGTTTCCCTGCAATAAAAGGCTCCAAACATTTTCCTCCAGGAAAAAATCAAATCAAATCAAATCAATTATATGTATATCAATATATTCTCTCCCTTTCCTCTCTGCAAAGGCACTCCCTTCGTGACACTGCCAGCCAAAAATAAAAAGGTTGCTCTGAATGCAAACAGGCCCCCCGAACCCAAATGAAAGCATCTCCCTGAGGAAAAAAAAAGCTCACTTTCTCCTCAAAAATCACCTCCCTATGATGGGAGAAAAAGCCCGCTTGCTCCTCACAAATTGTCCCCCTTGACAAGAGAAAGCCTTTTCATCCCTCAAGGGACAAGCGTTTGCCCCAAATGCATCGGTCGGTGAATGAAAGAACTAGACACGATCTCAGGGTGATTCCCCAAGGAGATCCCTGCTTGACCTGTGGGGAAACTGAGGCACGGGAGGGTGACATAACTTGCCCAGTTCATTTCAGATCTCAGATAAAACTAATGGTCCTAATGGGATCCAAAAAAAAGGGCAGAAGGCCTGTTGCTCTCGTAACCACCCAAACAGCTTTTGTCCCGCAGATGAAAGGCTTGTGGACACCGCCTGTGTTGTGAGATGCGTCATGGGGTGGTAGACAAAAAATCAGTGCTTTACACAAACAACAAAGTGTTCTGTCCCTTGCTCACATTAATCCAAGGGCTGGGGTGGGGTTTACACTGTTTATTGAGAGGCTGTCGGTAAAATTGCCACCATTCTTAGCCCTCCACACGTCCCACGAGGAGATGAAACCTGAAATCCGGATCAGATGGTCACAGTGCCCCAGGGAGGGTGCAGAAATTAAAAAGGGGCGTGGGTACCGATCGCAGATACTGTATAGAAGAAAGCTGGCAGCCACCACATCCCTGCATCACGTGTCTCACAGATCACAGTCAACAAATGTTTCCCAATTCGAGCATCCGCCGATCGGCAGGTCAGGCCCGCACCCTGTGAATCAGACGTGCGGCAGGTTGTAATGTGTCATAAGTGCAATGTCTACATTGAGTCCGTGATTCTGCCTGACATCTGATTCACACCGTCTATTTGCACTGAATATAGTTTAATAAAATATAGACCATGACTCTCAGGGTACCTGCCTGACCTGACCTCTTACATCCCCTCCTCCCCTCCCTGCTCTTTTTCTTCCTCGTTCCCAACCATTTCCTTTCTATTGCTAGCCTCTTTTTTACCTTGTATTATTATCTCTGTATTATCATCTCTCTTTGACCTTTTTTGTCCCATTTTCTTCCCCCTCTACCTTCTGTTTTCCTACTTCTGCCCTTCTACATTTTCACTGACATCCTGTCACACT